GTGAGCGAGTGAGTGAATGAATGGTAAATGGCGAGGATGACAGCCCTGTCAAGTCACGGCATGACGAGGTATAGTGATGGAATTCTTCATTCCTTCCATCGCGCATCTCTCTTCTGCACATTCCATGCAAATCCAACTAACTACACCACTTGGCTGTTTGAACAGCACACTTGTACTGCAGCCTTTCACCTCACTGCAACCCATCAATGCGTGAAGCGGACGCAGTTGCCACCACATCCACACCTTACAACGCTAATGTTGACAACATCGTCTCATGTCTTCCTCAATGGTGTGCCTCACTCCCTCGTAGTCTTGCTGTAAGCAGTCAGCCATTTCAGACTTGCAATAGACTCATGTTGCAACAGCAACCATTCCCCCTGTATGGGGAGCAGCGTATCCAAGACCTTGGTCAAGGTGCCTGAAAGTCTTGTTTAGGGTAGTTTTTCTTTCAGCCTCACGATCTGATGAAATATGAGGTCAAGTCTGTTTTACTATCGAGACGATAAATCTCTAGTCTAGAAGCAAATATTTTAGATCCCTTATTACTGAGACCAAGCTGCATGTGGTAGATAGCAACCTCATGTGACTGTAGAGGTGGAATGATGAGGCCAAACGATCTCTCACTCTGTGTAGGAGAGCCTGCATTTGGCTAGGCGGACTACTAAAAGATAGTCGCCAGTCTGATAGGCTAACCTGCAAAACGTTGAAGGAGTTGAGAGACGGGGCTAGGCCCAATGACCTGGTTCAGAGACCACGCCTTCCGACAAAGGCTCAATCGCCTGCCTTAAGTGCTTGGACAGAGCACTCACCTCACCTTCGGCCTACTTTCTTTGCTCTTCCTGTGCAAGAATCCCTTCTCTTTGCTTCGCCTATCACTGCCACCTCACTTTGTCGGCCTCGCAACCACATCGACAGCCTTATCCGAAATACGACTGTCATTAAGAAACTGCAGCTTTTTCGAGAGAGAACACAGCAACCGTCCCATACATCTCTCCGCTGTTTAGTGCATGACTAGTAGTTCTACGTCAGATAAACACATCCACATAAATGCTCATACTCAGAGAAGAAAGCTTATATGGCTATCTTAAATCCAACTTTTTTATATAAAAGGTATAAAATCTAAAATAAGGAGAAATTAGTAAATTAGATGTGAGTAGACCCTGTTGACAGACCCTAGCTTCATCCCCAGACTTTAACCAAAACATTTCGTGTTAAATTTCACATTATTTTTATTCTAAATAAATTTTTAAACAAGAAACCATTTTCGCAATTTGGCATCTTACTTTGATTTGTTTAATTGCTCCAACCGATACCTACCACTGGTGTGCCCGCTCTTTGAGCTGGCTACGTCTGCTTGTGCCGATGTTACGCGCCTGAGGTCGCAGGCACGTTGAGTAAAACGATGTGTGGTAAAATCATTCTACTTTAGTCCAAACTCATCTCTACGTCATGATTAGGTGTGCTTACTCCATATGAACTGCGCATGCCAGTGCATTCCTGCAAATTTAAGTAACCACTCCAACCTGGACGTGGACACTTAGCACGCGGCCCATTTCAGCGCTGTTCCACCACGCTGTCGACTAATCTGTAGTCCCATGAGCACGTCGTGGTGTTCCACGTGAACCACACTAAGCATTAGCGACTGTGCATATTCGCTCCGACACACCAAATGAGAAGGGCTATCCATCGGTTAATTCACCCTTCCTTCATAAAGCGATAACAAAAGCCGAATGTAACGTAGAAATAACTCGCAGGGCATAGAAACACACTCACCGAGTTTCTCGACATGACCATCTGAGGTGGAAATATCGTGTGAACGCGGACGTTCCTTAACCGCTGCCCTTGACCTCATCCGCGTCAGGGCATCAACCTGCAAGTTTCAACGCGTTAGTGCTCAGGCCGCCACCCATTCACGATCGTCCACTCATCACTGCAAATCACCGGTAAGTCTTCAGTAGACGCTTTTTGTCTCAGTGACTACCGTTCAAAATGGCAGTCGTTTCTTGGCTCCTCAGCCGAATTTACAAAGCAGCACCTCCTTTTAGAGT